GAAGGTAACTAGAATTACTAAGCCCAGTTGGGGCTTGACCTTATAAAATATTTGGAAAAGCATCGGAATTATCGTGATTGTCCCTGGGATTGCATGGAAACGGACTATTTGATCTGAGCTATTGCTTGGCCTTAATAGTATATCGCAAATGGAACAGTAGATCTGGGGTAGATCAAACTGGAAAGAAGTTGGGTTCAAGGAAAGAAATCCGATGAGATTCATTGGCATAAATCAACAGAAATGTTTCTTTCAGGTGGCGTTTTCGCAGTTTGTACGGCACAATTCGGCCAAATTACCTGCAATCAATGGGAGTCCAGGTGTGCCACCTCACTCTACCAGAATCCAATGGGTGTCTACCAGACCGGTAACTGGTATAAGCTCTCACCGGAAGTGCCGTTATGCATCGAAACACGTAAGGCCAATTCTCTTCACTTATTTATCAAGCAATCCAACTGTGGCTGTAGTTCACACAATATTCAGCTGAATTCATTTTTCTTCACCTCAGAAATAATTCAATTTTCGATTGAGTCAACAAAATGAAACGTACAGTCCTCAAATTTTAACGTTGGCCAAGATTCAGCAAGCACTTTCTGATGTATCCAATTGAAAGCCAGTCCGTTGGTTGTTTTCATCTGCAAATGTTTCAAATCCAAATCACCATTGACTGTTTCCATGAGGATGAGCATAGGATGTCTGAGTGACTCTGGGCAGAACATTTTCATAAATTTAAAGAAGCTAGAATTTGTTTTCAATGCTCTTTACTAGTTCTTGATTTGTGTTTTGAAGTGGTAGCGTTCCAAGCAACCTCTTAGCGAATGATCTGATTGATCTGACTGATCACTGCTTCATGATCGATTGGAAGTGGATCGAATCCGGTTTTTTTAAAATCCATTTCAGAGAGATTAATGAAAGCCTGTATCGAGAAGAATGGTAAGCAGTCTTGTGAGGATACGCTGCGCAATTGCGAAAGATATTTCAACGCCCCGAAGAAGATGTTGCCTCCGTGGGCTCTATACACGATGACCAAGAAACTGACGAATTGTGTGGGAAAGGCGATAATGAGTTGAATTTGAATTTTGAATAAATCCTGAATTTTTGTCATGATTGCTTGTTGATTTAGTGATCGATCGTTTATGCAGTGATCGATCGATGCAGTGATCGATCGTTTATTTGAAGTGGATCAGTGCTTCATTCCGTTCACAATGATTTTGTTGATAATAAAAGTAATAATGATGTTGGTGTAAATCTTCTGGTTTCTTGATCGACATCGAGCATATTTTTTATTTAGAAGAAATAAACTCATTTCATCACAATACACGCAGTTGATGGCAACAATATTATTCTCATTTGCCGTCAGGTTTAGCTATAATCTGGCTTCTGAATTCGGCAAATATAATTGACGAAAAACCCGGTGTTTTTGGGAGATCTTAAACATATATCCGAGGAATCGCAATAGATTTAGACTGCTCGCAGAATTTTCAGCGATTTCATTCACAAGACAACAGTCGGTCGATTCGATGATCTGTAATCGGGAGTTTCAATTACCCAAACAATGGGAAAATATCACTTCCTTTCCTTTTGTTTCGCCGGATTTGAGCTTTATTCATTAATTTCTCGAAACTGGTTTCTTTCCAATGCGTGATGATCGTCTTCTCGTTGTTTTCTGCCAGATAAACACAATGAAGT